TTCTTTTAACAACTATTTTAAATCAGTGTCCTCAGGTTACCAACCCAGCCGCCAGTGGAAATAGTTTCTCCTTGTTCACCCTATTTAATCCCCTCATAATTTTGAAAACTATTAAGTCTCCTCTTAACCTTCTCTGCTACAAGGAGAATAATCCCGGCTTCTCCGGCCTCTCCTGATAACTGAAGTCCCTCATTCCTGGTACCATCCTGGGAAATCTCCTTTGTACCCTCTCCAATGCCTTGACATCCTTCCTAAACTGTGGGGCCCAGAACTGAACACAGTCTCTCGCTGAGGCCTAACCAGTGTTTTATATAAAGGTTCATTATAACTTCCTGACTATCGTATTCTATGCACTATTTATAAAACCTTATATCCTTTATGCTTTTTTAACAGCTTTATCTACCTGTCCTGCCACCTCCAAAGATTTACTGATATGAACCCCCAGGTCTCTCTATTCCTTCACCCCTTTAAGATTGTACCATCAGCTTATATTGCCTCTCCTCATTCTTCCTCCCAAAATTCATCACTTCGCATTTCTCCACATTAAACTTAATCTGCCACGTGTCGGCCCATGTTACCAGTCTGTCTATGGCCATTTGCAGTCGGTTACTATCCTCCTCACTGTTTACTACTTTTCCTAACTTAGTATCATCTATAAACTTGGAAATTGCACTCCCTATACCCAAGTCCAGGTCATTTATATAGATCAAAAACATACTGCACACTTCCCTCCAGACAGGAAAACAACCGTTCACCACCAGTCTCTGCTTTCTGTCTCCCCGCCAGTTCTGTATCCACGCTGTCACTGTCACCTTAATACCATGGGTTTCTATTTTGCTACAAGTCTCTTACGTGGCACTTTATCAAACTCCTTTTGAAAGTCCACATAAACTACATCAATTGCACTACCTTCATCCACCCTCTCCGTTACTTCATCAAAAAATTCTATGAGATTTGCTAGACATGATTTGCGTTTAACAAATCCATGTTGGCTACAACCACAACTTGGCTTCATATAGCGCCCTCCACGCCGGACAGCGCCTCAGAGCGCTTTACAGTAATGGATCCCGGCGCTGAGCCAGGGGGAGGGGGAGGAAGGTGACCAAAGGCGCGGCTGTCCTTTATTAACCCATATTTTTCAAAGTGAAAATTTATTTTGTCCCGGGTTATTGTCTCTAGAAGTTTCCCCTTTGCTGACGTTAGGCTGACTGGCCTGTAGTTCCCGCGTTTATCCTTCTATCCCTTTTGTAAAGGGGAGTAACATTTGCAACCCTTCAGTCCTCTGGCACCCCCCAGGTGTCCACAGAGGATTGAAAGATTGTGTCTAGAGCCTCCGTTAGTTCGACCTTTGCTTCCTTCAGTAACCTACGATGCATCTTGTCCTGACTGGGTGAATTATCTACCTTGAACACCGACAAACCTTTTTAGTATCTCCTCTTGGTTTATTCTTATCTTATCCAATTTCTCTCCCCTCTCCTCCAATACTGTGGCATTGGCTGCATTCTCTTCTTTTGTGAAGACGGATGCAAAGTACTCATTCAGTACAGCAGCCATGCCCTCTGCCTCCACGAAGATTTTCTCTTTGGTCCCTAATTGGACCCACCCTACTTTTGACTAACCTTTTATTCTTTATATGCTTATAATACCTTAGGGTTCCCTTGTATTTTACCCGCTAATCTTTTCTCATACAATCTCTTTGCCCCTCTTATTTCCTTTTTCAGTTCTCCTCCTTACTTTCTATATTCTATTTGTGACATGCGAAGGATGGCACCTCCGACAATGCAACCCTCCCCCCCCCCCAGCACTGCAATGGAGTGTCATCCTAGATTATGTGCATTCCAAGTCCCAATATGGGGTTTGAACTCCCAACCTTCTGACTCAGAGAGTGCTACCAAGAGTTTCAAAGCGCTTCATCATCTGAAATTTCAAAATGCAGTGCTTCACATGCTTCACTCCACTGTAAAGTGGATTGACTGTGTATTTTGTGGGTAAAATGATGTACCAGAGCTGTGGGCGGAAGAGAGTTGATATGCAATGCTCCCAAACTGACGCTCTCTCTGTTAAACACTGGTGCCTTCAGTGAGTCTGCCAGCCCTTGACTGGCAACTTTCCCAGTCTTTCTTGCCTGAAGTGGCTCATTAATTAAGCTTAATTTACGTCCATTCTCTGTGCCTGTCTGTTTTGACCCCATTTCACACAGAGCCATTGTGCAGAGACAGATTTGTGGTAACCCGTTGATTGACTGGGCCTCTTGCTTTCACAATCGCTTCTTTGAATGCGGAGACAAGACCAGCACAAGGGATGCCCAGATTGCTACAACTCTATAATGTTCTGCTTTGGCGGTCTGTAATCCCAATCACTGTGTTATAATGGGCCAAAGTTCAAAATGGCTGCCACGCTATCACTTCCTGTGTTAATGGCTGACTCCATGGCCTGAAAAATGGTCACCGGTGACTTGCTCCTTTTTTTTGCTCAGCCGGGTGTCTGACACATGCGGAAACCCATCGCCAGGCTTAAGAGTATCCAAAACAAGCTGAGAATTCCATGCTTCCCACCTACACATGGAAATCCCAGAGATAGATTGTTGGAATGGAATGTGCTCTCTTTCCCTGGAGGCGTTCGCCCACAAATATACAGTCAATTCACTTTACAGTGTGTTCTGTGAAGCGCTTTGGGACGTCCTCCCGACGTGAAAAGCGCTATATCAAATGCAAGGATTATTATTATTATTATTATTATAGGGATGCATTCCTGCTGATCTAATTCCGGAGAGCATTAGGCGCACGTTGGCAAGAGCGAAGGTTGGTTCTGTGTGAAATGGGGACCCCAGAGTGTGTGTTGGGGGTAATAAGAAAAGGATGAGAATTTGGACCTCAATCCACTGGTGATGGAGTGCTTGTGGGGCCGAGCTAGAATAGGGATGTTAGGCTCGTGGAGGGCACGGACCTCAGAGATCAACAAGAGAGAACAGTGTGTTTGGGAGGTATTTCTGTTACAAAGCAGTGACGTGCATGTGGAACGGACGACCAGCATAGGATGTGCAACAAGGAACAAGGAACCACAAAGGGTTTCAGAAAGGAACCAGTAGGTTTATTGGAACCGCAGACACATCAAAGGAATCTTTTGGAAAGTAATATGACTCTTGGATGGAGCAATTGTCTACACTGAAACTGGTACAGGGGGATATGACGTGTGGGTGAATACGCCAAATCACTTGAGTTCAGATTCCCCAGATGTCACACTCAAGCTATTTAATGCTCTGGTCAGGGCACACCTAAGAGAACTGCATATTTCCTCTGGTGGGGGAAAGCAGAACAAATAACAATAACAGTATAATCTTAAAATTAGAGCTTGGCCATTTAGGAGTGAAATCAGGAAGTATTTTGTCACGCAAAGGGTAGTGGAAATCTGGAACTTTCTCCCCCAAAATGCTGTGGAGTCTGGATCCATTCACATTTTAAAGACTGAAGTGGACAGATTTTTGTCCGGTCAGAGTGTCAAGGAATATGGGGCAAAGGCTGGAATTGAGGTACAGATCAGCTATGATATAATAGAATAGCGGAACAGACTCGAGGGGCTGAATGGTCTACCCCTGTTTCTATGTTCCTCTTTATACAGTTCTAGTTAGTCCAACATAAGGGGCTGCACAGGCTTTAGAGACAGTGCAGAGTAGAGCAACAAGGCTGATGCCCAGTGCTAAAGGAATGAGCTATGCCTATGAACAAGAAATGAGCTATTAGACCAGGGATCTTCAGTCCTGAGAGAAGACGACTCAGAGAAGAGAAATAGAACTACAAATTTACATTTAAACAGCGCCTTTCACGTCAGGAGGATGTCCAAAGGTGCTCAAAACAATCCTGGCTTGACACCTGAGCTGGGGGTGGGAGCCTAGGAAGGTGGCCAGGGGAAAGATGATAAAAGTGCAGTCACAGAGGTAATTTTTCAGGCGGACTTTGACTGAGGTGAGGTAGGGAAAGAGTTAGAGACTTTGGAATGGAGTTCCAGAGAATGGGGGAAGGTAGAGTGAAATCGTGGCCACCGATGGTTGGGCGTGGGGTGTAGGGCAGGGGACGTGAAGTATGTTGATGCCCAGCTGAGCAAAGGCAGGGTCCATATGTCTGAGTTGAGGAGATCCCAGAGGTAGATTGACGCGAGACCGTAGAGGGATTTCAAGGTGAGGACAAGAATCTTGAATTGCTGGGGGAAGGAGAGTCAGTGTTGCCATTGATAGGCACACAGATCCAAGTCCAGGACAGGAAACGGTGTGCGCAATTCAACCCACAACCTTCTGACTCCGACATGAAAGTGGCAGCAAATGAGCCAGGCTGACACCTTTCGTCCACATAAACATACAGTTAGTTCACTTTACAGTATATTCTGTGAAGCACTTTGAGACGTCTCAACACGTGATATCGCTCTAGATCAAATGCAAGGATTATAATTATTATAAGAAGTCACCATTTAGTCCTCACTTTGCCTTTAATTAAAGGGATTAGTTGCCTCCAAAGACATACCACTAGACATACACAGAGACAGAGAAACTTCTGACACAGTAGGAGGCCATTTGCCCCATTGTATCAGTATTGGTGTTTGTCCTTACAATGAAGCCATCCATCCTAATCCCAATTCCGTGCTCTTTCAACACAAACTCGAATACCCTACTTCCCTCTATTCTAATCTGATTCCTGTTTATGCCCCAATCAACTCTGCTCCACTCCTGGCAAATCAACCCACATCCCACAAGCCTCTAGACAAAAAATAGCTTCCTAACTTCCTGTTTCTCACTCCGAGTTACAATCATAAACTCATGTCCTAATATCCACCAATCGCCAACCTGTGGCAAAAGTTTCTCCTCTCAAGCCCATTCACTATCTACATCATGTCATCCCGCAACCCTCTCTTTTCTGATGGAAGAAGAGCCCTGGACTTCTCCAGCCTCTTTTAGCAGCTCTATCCTCACTGCGACATCAATGGAGCCGTCACAAACACATGGATCCTACCTTGACACACCGATCCAGTGGGAGAGCAGGAGGTGGGTGTTGTCACAGGCTGGGTCACCAAGGAACTGGCTGAAATGACATGAGAGACGTATGTTAGTTGACAAGAACACTTCAGAGACACCTAGACATTTTCAACACAAAATGGAGACCATTTGACCCTACAGTTTTCAATAACTCTACGACCGTCACCTTAAAAACTCCACATTGAATCTGTATCCACATTGACCCTACTTTTGATGGTTAGCGCTCTTGCCTCGCAAGCGAGTGGATCTGGATTCAATTCCCAGGCAAGCAAAACATTAGGCATGTTTTCTTAATCCACACACCTTTGTTTACTTCGCAGTAAGTCGGAACCCAATTGTTAGTGGCTTAGTGAATCACTTTCCGTGGGCAAAAATCCCTATTGTTTGTGAGACACTCGCCCGCAAAATACACAGTCAATCCACTTGACAATATATTCTGTGAAGGGGTTTGAGTCGTCTCAATGTTGTGATAAGGCACTATATCAAATGCAACGATTATTATTACTTACTCGGGGAGGGGAGGAAGGGGGAAATATTTTTGATTTTTGTTAGGTACGGGTATTAAGAGATATGGGCAAAGGCAGAATATTTGGAGTTGAGGTACAGATCAGCCATGGTCTTATAGAATGGCGGAACACGCTCGAGAGGCTGAATGTCCTACTCCTTGTTCCTATGAATAATGGCACCTAATGGCTGATAATTTAATATCAGCAATAGTGTTGAAACACCACACATTTTATCCCACAGTCAAAAAACTCTCAGCGATTTGTTCAGTGGAATAACTTGCGTAGCAATGTGGTGAGAAAGAATGGATTAACTTCACAGGTCCCACAGAGGATGTGAGGGAGGTAAGCGAGTTCTCCTTGGAGCTGAGCTGGCTCTAAGGTGTTCCATTTGGCAACGGAATATTGGGTTCAAGTCCATTCCCTGTGATGGTCTTGGTAATCCGGTTCCTGAGACAGGTGGGTCCACAGCACTCCAGTGTTAACTGGTTAGAGTCCAGTAGTTACCCCCAACACACACTCTGGGATCCCCCAAGCCTTGGCTCTCATCAACCTGTGACAAACCTCTCCGCAATCAGGTGAGCAGGATGCATCTCTCTCGGGAGAGAATGCACATTCCATTCCAGACACCTGGAAATTTGGAGCCCTGTAGGGTAAGTTCCCGTACTCCACACATACACATTTATAGCTCAAAAGAAGGGCAGTTGCCCAATTGTGTCTGTGCAACTCCTCTGCTTACCTAGCAGTAAGTAGGAACCCGGCTGTTAGTCGATTAGCGGATCGCTTTCTGAGGGTAATAATCCCTTCCAAATAAAATAAATAAATAAATAATAATAATAATTTGATCACTCAATCCACGACTGCCTGGGGGACATAGTTGTGTGCAATTGGCTGTCGCGTTTCGCCAACAAAATATACAGTCAATTCACTTTACAATGTGTCAATAACAACAACAACAACAAGATTCCATTTATAAAGCGCCTTTCACGTCAGGAGGACGTCCCAAGGCGCTGCACAGTTGGGTCAGGACCCGAGCAGGGGGAAATGGTCAGGGTGAGGGGAGGGAAGGGAGGGAGCGAGGAGGGGGGAAATGGTTAGGGTGAGGGGAGGGAAGGGAGGGAGCGAGGAGGGGGGAAATGGTCAGGGTGAGGGGAGGGAAGGGAGGGAGCGAGGAGGAGGGAAGAGAGTCGAGAGGGGAGCTGAAGGCTCGGTCAAAGAGAAGCGTTGCAGCATAGACAAGTGGAATTCTCAGTCTGGTTTGGATACAGTTAATTGCGGTGATGGGTTTCCAAGTATCAGACACCCAACTGACCAAAACAGGTTTTGATCCCTCTAGGTATAATCTCGCCCTTCCCATCTGCTGGGTTTGTTTGTGCAACGGTTTCCTGCGAAGGGATCGCACACCCACACCCTGGGGGAATCTGTTCTGTCACATGTCAAAAGCAGATTCCTTGCGATAATTAACATGTTCCAATCAACAGGACTGAGACCTGAACATCCATCCTGGGCCGAGTGAGTGGGTGGGAAGCGTTCAGAACTAAAGCCGTTTCTATCGTGGTTTGAAATTCTACTAATTCTAAACAGGTTACATACAATGTATTGTTGGAAGTGTCATCCTTCAGATAGGACTAGGATAAAATGTCTAGGTGGACATTAAAGATCCCACGGCACATTTGAGAAAGAAATACTACCATAGTTCACAATATATACAGTCAATTTACTTTACAGTATATCCTGTGAAGTGCTTTGAGACGGCTCAATGACTTGATAAGGTGCTATATCAAATGTAAGAATTATTATTATTAATATTATTATTATTGCCAAAAGGAAGGGAGTTTCTCACAGCTTCCTGTCCTCGGTTTCACGCCTCATCCAAAGAATGACGCCACCCCCAGCCCTACATTGGAGTGTCAGCCTAGACTCTCAGTCAACTTAAAGATCTTAATGTTGCAACACAGAGACCCTCCTGGGGAGGAATGACTCAGTCACATCTCTCTGGTTGGTCTGCGTTCCACTGCTATATCCTGAGGTATAATGATGCACTGGGGATAATGATGGCGGAGATATTGGCTGAAAAATGGACATTCATGCTTGAGTTCTCCACTCTAATTCCATTCCCCCCTCTCCCCTACTGGAGCTCTCCACTGTAATCCCCATTTCCCTGCTCTTTCCCTATTGTCTCTGTGCTGGTGCTCGCTCTCTGAAAGTAGCCACCTACATATCCATCTACAACATTCCCCGCCACCCCCGCCCCTTTGTAATGTTTGTGACTGTGATAAACATATTGACAGGGTTTGGCTTATCTAATGCCCTTTAGGACCTTCAACACCTTCGTAAGACCTCCCAGGAGCTAATTAGGTGAGTAAATCATTCTATTGCTTCAGTTGTCTTTTGTAGCAAGATGTGCTTACTCCCCTAAAGCAGCCACCTACATATCCATCTACAATATCCACCCCCCATGTTGGATGTTGTACAACTTCCATCCACCACATCCTCCAGGGCGGGGGTGGGGGTGGGAGTTCCCTTTGGAGCTAAAATGGCTTCAGCATGATGTGCTTGCCAACAACAAGAACAACAAAATTACATTTGTAAAGCACCTGTCACATTGGGAGGACGCCCCAAGGCACTGAACAGTCAGAGAACAGGACCCGAATGTGGGGGGGGGCAGGGTTGGGATGAGGGAGGGCAGAGGGGGTCGGAGGACGGCTGAAGGCATGGTCAAAAAGGAGGGTCTTCAGTCATGTCTTGAAGGAGGTAAGAGAGGGAGGGAGCAAGGTGAAGGGATTGTGGGATGGAGTTCCAAGGATGGGGCAGAAAAACTGAAAGCCCAGCTGCCGATGGTAGGGTGGGTCGGGCGGGAAACCTTAGCCTGCTAAGCAGAGGGAGCAGACAGGTTAATAGGGTGTCAGCAATTCAGAGATGTGGGTGGAGGCAAGGCCATGGAGGGCCTTGAAAGTGAGGAGAAGAATTTTGAATTCTATCCTCTGAGGGATGGGAACCCAGTGGAGCCGGGCGAGGGTGGGGGCGATGAGTTCACGGAGTCTGGAGCGGGAGAGGACACGAGCTGCAGAGTTCTGGATGATCTGCAGCTTGTGGAGGGCAGAGTTGGGGAGACCAACAAGGAGGAAGTTTCCATAGTCGAGGTGACGAATGCATGTATGAGGGTTTCAGCGGGATGAAGGGTGAGGCAGTGACGAAGGTGGGGGAAGGCTGAATGGGTCATGGCACGGGTATGCGGGAGAAAGGCATTTGAGGGTCGAACAAGGCATTCAGGTTCCTAACTGGCTTAGTGAGGTAGAATGTCCAGCAGAATGTCAGAATCAAGTTAATCTACTGTGACGGTCTCTAATCCGGTTCCTGAGCCAGGCGGGTCCGCAGTATTCCAGGGCACTGCTGATGACAGCGCAACCCAGCCTGGATCATTGACAGGACTTGGAAGGGCAGACCAGTCATTGGGGCAGGGAATCCTGCCATCCAGCTACTGCTAACCCTGCAAGCCAAAGCACTAAGGGGTAGGGTGGTCCTAGCTGAACAAGCAGCTTGACAGACAGTGCTTTCAATGGCAAGTTACGTGGTTTTAACTGGTTTAGCTGTTTAGTAAGAACTTGCAACAGCAGGCCTGTGTTTTAGTTGGTTGGACTCCAGCTGCTCCCCCAACACAGACTCTGGGGTCCCTTAAGCCGTGACTCTGGCCAACCTACGCCTAATTGGTGTCACAATAAGGTGAGCAGGATGCATCCCTCTGGGAAAGGGAGGGGGAGAGAGGTTGTACTCCATTCTGCATAAACAGAAGTTTCCATGTGTAGGTGGAACTCCCAGTAGTTTTGTTTGGAGTTTCTTAAGAACACCAATGAGTTTCCAGATGTATCTGACATCTGGCTGACCAAAATAAAAAATAATTATTCTAAATATGGCTTCAGGAGGGTGGGAACTGGGGGCTACAGCATGGAAATAGGTTATGCTGGTGTTTACACAACAACAACTTGCATTTATATAGCACCCGTGTACAACATCCAACATGGGGGGTGGGGGATGTTGTAGATGGATATGTAGGTGGCGTCTCGAAGAACATTGGTGGAGCCTGACGCCGAGCCAAGGGGACAGAGGGGGTGACCGTAAGCCCAGTCGAAGAAGAAGGTCTTTAGGTGCGAGAAGGGGAAGGCGGAGGTAAGGTGGAGGGATTGAGGGAGATGGTTCCAGAGTTTCAGGGCATAGTGGCTGAAAGAGAGGCCAGTGGAGGGGACGAGGGACACGCAGGAGGCTCGAGCCAGCTGAGTGGAGGCAGTGGGGAGTAAGCAGGTCAGAGAGGTAGGGAGGTGCCAGGGCATGAAGGGATTTGTAGATGAGTGAGAGGATCGTGAAGTCGATTTATTCTGTGATAGAGAACCAGTGGAGCCTGCGAGGACTGTGAGGTGAAGGTGTAGAGTTTACAGCGGGTGCGGATACGGGAGTTACAAATTAGTTGGATTTTGTGGATCGTGAAACTAGGGAGTAGACTCTGTACGAGCCCCCACCCCACCTACTCCCCTCAATTCCCTTCTCTCTCATACAAGCATCAAGCCTCTTCTCAAATACATTAACCCTTTTTCCTTCAACCGCAACATCCACATGGATTTCCATATTCCCAACACCCTCTGTGCGTGATAGAACCATAGGACCATTTGCCTATCGTGTCTGCGCCAGCTCTTTTAAATAACCGGGCTCCTACTTACTGCAAGATAAACCGAGGTGTGTGGAGTAAGGAAACTTGCCCAACATTTCGCTCTGCCGGGAATCAAACCGAAGTCCTCTCGCCCGCGAGGCAAGTGCTCTAACCACTGAGCTACAGCACTCCAATACAGTGATGCTACACTATCGGAGACTACCAGAGCCATTTATAGGACAATGCTGTGTGCAATTGGACTGTCGTCTCCCCAACCCGTGTTGCTTCCCCCCTGCCCTCCACCCTCCCCCACCCCTATGCCCAGCTCGGGTCCATAACTCTGGCTGTCCAGCGCCTTGGGACGTCCAACGTGAAAGGCGCTTTACAACTATAATTTTGTTGTTGTTGTCGTTGTGTTCGCCTACAAAGACATCCTCGCTCCAGTAAATCCTGTGAAGTGCTTTGAGGTGGTCTCCTGACATGAAAGGCATTATACCAAATGTAAGGATTAGTATAATTATTATTATAAGCTCCCTATTAAAATCTACTAGGTGACACGCTTTATAATAATACAGTATATAATAATAATCCTTGCATATGATTTAGCACCTTATCACATCGTTGAGATGTCTCAAAGCGCTTCATAGAATGTACTGTAAAGTGAATTGACTGTGTATTTTTGTGGGCAAAAGGTGTCAGTCTGGCTCAGTTGGTGGCACTCTCGCCTCTGAGTCAGAAGGTTGTGGGTTCAAGCCCCACGTCGAGACTTTGAACTCACAGTCTAGACTAATACTCCAGTGCAGCGCTGGGAAACCTTGCATTGTTGGGGGTCCAATTGCACAGCAGTGTCCCACAAACAGTAAAGGAATAAGTGACCAAATTATTGTGTTTTTAAGGGATTATTCCCGTCGGGAAAGCGATCCGTCAATCGACTAACAACCGTGTTCCTACTTATTGCTAGGTAAACAGAGGCGTGTGGAGTAAGAAAACTTGCCTAAGTTTTCGCCATGCCCGGGAATCGAACCCGGTTCCTCTCATTTGCAAGGTAAATGCTCTAACCACTGAGCTACAGGATGATGATGATCATCATTGTTGTCATCGTTATCCCAACGTCACTCACCACAGCTCAGTTCGCTATCTGGTTGCACGTCGGCTGCAGACCTGTTCCAGTGTGCATTCTGCCAGTCCACCACATTCCCCACTTGGTCGCAAGTGACATCCTCCAGTGCCTGGGTGTCCATGCTGAAGTTCCACAGGCGGAAGTTGTAGATTTCCCCGGAGAAGATGTAATTGGACGGGTCGCCATTAGGCGCCAGGATCAGCCTCCCGTTCCCTGGGATGAACTTATCCCTAGAGCCTCGGCACAAGTTGACCTGCTGGGTGGCCTGGGACTGGGTGATGATATTTCCTGTGATGCCATCCCACGCCAGGCAAATCTGCCGCCACTCACCAGTAATGGCCTTATGGGAGAAGTGCTTCTTCCAGAGGTAGCTCACATCACACTCCTCATCCGAGATGATGAGCTTGTACGCATTGTTGTTTTTTTTGAAGCTGAAGACCTCCGAGCCCTGGGTGTCCGAATAGGAAAAGAGGATCCAGTGCTTTTTTGTGTCTGATGACTTGGCTTCCAGGCAAAGAGTGAACTGCCTGAGCTCCGGAATGATGAGTGAAGAGGACACGGACATGGTCTGGTCTGTGGAATCTCTGGAAAGGACCACCTTCTGGTTACGGAGCGAAACCGCCACTGAATGAAAATGGACAGGGAGAATAAGTGTTAGTCTACAGCAGGATGGTCCAACTGGTAGCCTACGGGTCACATTCATGTCAGATGGTTGTGGGTTCAAGCACCTCTATCTGCCCCACCCCCCTATGTCGGGCTTTGAATTCACACACTGACTGACACTCCAGTGCTGGAGGGGGAGCAGAGGAGAGCACTGCCATCCTTCTATTGAGACATTCAGCCAAGCTCCTGTCTGCTGTTCAGGTGAACATTTAAGATCCTGTGGCACTATTCGAGCCAGTGCCCTGGCTGACAATTCCCCAAATAAAATTGGTCATTCACTTCAAGGCTGTTTGTGGGGACTTTGCTGTGCACAAACTGTCACAGTTGGCTGCCACATTTCCCCACAATACACACAGTCACTGCACTTTACAGTAGTATCCTAGGAAGCTCTTTGGGAAGTCTTTGTGACGTAAGAAGCGCTGTATCAAGTGCAAGGATTGTTCCCCCCCCCCAACGTTCACACCTTCGCACACCCTAAAATGTTACTGAACGAGTCAAGAAGTGGACTATCAAAGAGATGTGTGGTTATGTCTGTCATAAAAGAGCAATTGACTCAACAATCACTTCATCTTACAAATTGACTGACATTTCCTCAAATACCCCATACAGCAACTCACAAGAGAGGTTCTGATGAATGTCCCCATTTGTCAGGATGGATCTAGAAATTCACAATATGCTGGTTTAAGCGCTCCAAGACGCTACCCTGCATGGAGGGTGCTATATAAGTACAAGTTGCTGTGTTGGTTCTCGCTCCCACACTGGAGTTCACTACTCTAACCCTTCTCTACTTAGATGCTGCAAAGGTTACTTGCCTAAGGTTTCAACCTGTCCAGGAATCAAACCCAGGTCCTCTTGTTTGCGAGGCAAGTGTTCAATCACTGCGCTACAAAGGTATAAGGAGACTCTGTGTAGTTCTACATAGATCTGCATTAATGTGCAATTTTTAACTTAACTTGAAATGTGGTCAATCAATCCACCAGTTTGTGGGACACTGCTGTTCGCAATTGGCTGCCGCATTTCGCCCACCAATTACACAGTCAATCCACAATCAATATTCCATGAAGAACTTTGAGAGCTCTCTGGACGTGATAAGGTGCTATATCAAGTGCAATGATTATTAAATGTAAGGATGGAACTCCAGTCATTTCAACCCTTGAAACCTTTTGCTAAAGATACTCCATTGGGTGGTAATCCCTCTGTTACATACATACCTTGTGTGTAGCTGGCGGTGAACCCTTTCTTTTGAATGCTAAAGTCAGTCCTGAAGGATACGTTCAAGGAACTCCCGGTGGAACTGAGTGTCAGGCCGCTGGCCGTGATTCCGCACAGTTTTATTGTGTCTGCCCCAGTACTTATTATTACAGAGTCGTATATACATCCCTGGGCTTCTTCCAAGGTGAAGTCCTGAAAGGTTAGCTGCACGCTGAATCCCATGGGAGCTCGGATGGTCCATTCACATTTTAAATCATTGGGATACAAGTCGGGATAACAAGGGGAAGTAAACTGGCCCGTCGGACTGGTAAAGGTTCGGATGCAGTTTGAACAGCCAAATACTATTGGGGACCAGTTTTTTTGTGTGGGGGAGAGAATGGGGGAGATAGAAGGATGGGGGAGGGAAAAAAACAAAGTCAAATAAAATAGATCAACGTAACATAGTAAGACTGTGATCAAGGTAGGTCAAGGATTAAACGGCAGAGTGCAGTCAAGGATAGGATGGAAGTTTGCGAAGGGGCAGTTCTATGCCAGTGTCAGCCAGTTAGATAGTAGAGGTTTGATTTTGGAGTTAGAGAAATTACAGCACAGAATGAGACTATTTGCCCATCGGACTTAAAACTGGTGCTCACCCCCCGCCACTGGAGCTCTCTACTCTAATCCCATTCCCCTGCTCTTTCCCCTCAGGGTTTCTCTTTTGAAAGTTATGAAATAATCTCAGATTTAGACATTTTTCTGCTGTTCTGAAAATGAACCGGCCTCCAAAGTAACTTAACGTTCCTCAATTCCGAGCAATGTTTAGGCAAAACAATCTGACAGGATAAGACAAGGCAGAATTTCAGTTCCTTTTTTGAATGATTCACTTTATCTACCCTCAGTTGTCTCTTGTGGTGATTGCTTCGGCACCCTGACAAGTCTCTGAGTGAAGAAATCCTTCTTAACCTCTCCCCTAATTCTTCCCCTAACAATCCTGAGATCGTTGCCTCCTCACATTCCCTGACGCACCCAAGCCTGCCCAACTACTGTCCATTGCTGCTCCTGCCAACTCTGTCCAATGCCAACCCTGCCCAACTCTTCCAACACCACCTCTGCCAACACCAACTCTGCCCAACGCCAACACCAATGCACCCTGAATGAACAAACACCGAGAGACCGAGAAAAGGTTCTCGGATTTACAACAGATGAAATTCAGAAGAAACATTTTGAGCTTATTGCCACTTACGCTTAGCTCAGCAGTCTACATGCCTGTGCGTGTTAAGTATTGAGGATTAGCGCAGCGAGCGCAAGGCAAATCGATAAGAGAAAGGAAGCGAAATACAGCAATGGATCAATTTCGCGAAGAAGAGCGCGAAGAACAATCCAGAAATAAAGGAGGATGAAATCATTACATCGAAAGCAAAATCACATAGAAATCGGAACATTAATGTTGAAAGTACAAAATAGCGAGTTAAAAAAANGCTATATTTATAATATCATTAGTGTAGTTGCAAAGCAATTTGAAGTGATGAATTGAAAAGTAAATTGTTTGTACCGACCCACCTGCACACCCGCAAACTACCCATACACCCACCCACACACCCATCCAACTTCACACCCAGCCATACACTACCCACACACCCACCCAACCACACATGGAACCACACACCAACCCACACACCAAAAACACACTAACCCACACACCAAATACACACCAATCTACACACCCCAAAGCACACCCAACCACACACCCAAAACCCACCCAAAACCCACTCACACACTCAACCACAAACCCAACCTCACACCCAAAAACACACCCATCTACCCCCAACCACACACCCAACCTCACCATAGGAAGGATCATCCTTACCTGTGTGATTGATGCAGACTGCAAATACACACATGAAGGAGAGAAAGTCCAGCAACGTCCATCTTGGGCAGACAGTGCACACCCAGGCTCGGTGGGACATCCTGAAGGAAAAGAATTGAAGGCGGGCAGGTTTCAGGGAGTGAGAGAGAGAGAGAGAGAGAGGGGTGGGGAGGGGAGAATAGTGAGGAGAAAAAAAAGAACAAATTATCCAGGACAGTCACACAACATTTCAGTGAATGTCAGCGTACGGGTGGGGGGGTGCGGGGATGCACTGTAGGAGGTGCCGGCCTCAGTTTAATGTCTTATCCAAAGGACATGCAATGCAGCATAGTCCCAGCACTGCACTGGAGCGTCAGCACAAAGTCCTTTTGTGGGGCTTCAACCCACAACCTTCTGACTCAGAAGTTAGAGTGCCACCGAGCGAGCCGGGCTGACACACGCTCATGTCAAATAGAGAAAATGACTACATTTCCACAAGTGGAAACAATAAGAAAGAATCTAATTCTGGATCACATCAAATATGCTTCGAAAGACTCAAGAACAACAATTTACATTTATGCAGGCCTTTCACACAACATGACTCAAAGTGACGTCCAATAGAAAGCCAAGAGATGTATTTTTTTTCCAGCTATAAATCAAAGAACCCAGTTGTCTATTCAGACGGATGTTAAAGAAAAGAAAAGGGAGTTTCTCCTGGTGTCCTGACCAACAATTTACACTTGGAGTCCTGTAGCTCAGTGGTTAGAGCACTCGCTTTGCAAGCGAGAGACCAGAGTTCAATTCCCGGCAGAGCGAAACCTTGGGTAAGTTTCCTTACTCCACACAGAGCCTAATAATAATCCCTCCAAAACCCAAAAACAATAATAAATTGGTCATTTTCAATCTACGACTGTTTGTGGGACATTGCTGCCGCGTTCACCCACAAATACACAGTCAATTCACTTTACAGTGTTTTCTGTGAAGCGCTTTGGGACATCCTCCCGACGTAAAAAGCGCTATATCAAATGCAAGGATTGATTATTATTATTATTATTATTATTATCTCAATCTTTCACTTCATGCCTCTAGGACATTGTTGTGAGCAATTGGCTATCTCATTTGCCCCCAATATAACACAGTCACTGCACTTTACATCAATGGCCTGTGACTCACTTTTGAGACGTTTCAACTTCATAGGCAGGGGAATCAAAAGCAAGGAATAAAGTACAGCCATGGCCCAAATAGTCAAGCTTCTGTTGGTGTTAGCCTGCATTCTGGAATTATCTGCTCTTGTGGAGTTTCGCTGCGTAATGTTTAGTGTGCTTGCCTCGCAAGCAAGTGAACCTGGGTTCAATTATCGTGAGGGGAGAAACCGTAGGCAGGTTTCCTTACTCTACACGTCTCTGTTTACTTAGCAGTAAGTAGGAACCCGCTTGTTAGTCGATTGGTGGATCGCTTATTATTTATTATTATGAAAGACTAGAACAAAAAGTGTTGTGGTTCAAGCTGTTAACCCTGTTTCCAGTCGTTAATTCCCCTTTGGGTAAAGAAATATTTGCTGTTTTCTCTCCTGAAATTGTTGTGTTGTTTCAGTACATACGGAAGGAAGTATGGTTCTGGGTTTACTTCTCCATAAATGGTTACCGATGTCAAGCGCTAACAACATTCAGGAGGGAACTGAATAAATAACTGACAGTCAACATTGGTAAAGAGCAGGGAATGGAATTAGAGTGGAGAGCTCCAGTGAGGGAGGGAGCACCTTAGGAACATTGGAACCTAGGAACAGGAGAAGGCCATTCAGCCCTTCGAGCCTGTTCCACCATTCAATTAGATCATGGCTGATCTGTACCTCAACTAATCCTGTCAATTCCAATTTCCTGCTTTTTCCCCATATCCCTTGACATCCTGACCTAACAACAATCTATCAACCTTACTCTTGAAGTTGTGGATCCGAGTTGTTGGGATCCGGAATGCATTGACTGAAAGGCTGGTGGAAGCCCATTCAATAACAGCTTTAAAGAGAGAAGTAGATAATTATTTGGGGAGGACAGGTTTGCAGGGCTATGGAGAGAGAGCGGGGGAGTGGGATTGAATTGGATAGCTCTTTTCAAAGAGCCGGGACAGACACAATGAACCGAATGGCCTCCGTCTGTGCTGTATCATTCTCTGATTCTACGATGGATCCAGCATCCACAGCCTTTTGGGGGAGAGAGTTCCAGATTTAAATACCTCAATCAATCACCCCTCGACCTTCTTAACTCAAGGGAATACAATCCAAGTTGATGCAGCCTTTCCTCGTAACTTATCCCTTTAAGGCCTGGTAATATTCTAGTGAACCTGCGCTGCAGCCCCCTCCAAGGCCAATTATCTTTCCTGAGGTGTAGTTCCCTAAACTGAATGCAGTATTCCAGTTGGGTCTCACCAACGCTCTATACAGCTGAAGCATCATTTCTTCCCCTTTGTATTCCAGGCCCTGAGATAAATGCCAACGTCCCATTCGCCTTTTTGATTATTTTTTGCACCGGGACACTAGTTGTTAGTGATTTGTGGATATGGATACCCAAATCACTTTGCTCCTCCACAGTTCTTAGTCTCTCCCCATTAAGAATATATTCTGCTTCATCGTTTTCAATCCATAGTGGATGACCTTGCATTTTCCTACATTGAACTCCGTTTGCCACAGCTTTGCACACTCACTTCATAGAATCCTAGAATTATGCAGCACAGAAGGAGGTCATTTGGCCCACTGTGTCTGTGCCGGCTCTTTGAAAAGAGCTATCCAATTCAATCCCACTCCCCCGCGCTCTCCCCAAATCTCTGCAAACTTGTCCTTCCCAAATAATTATCTACTTCTCTCTTGAAAGTTATTGTTGAATCGGCTTCCACCACTCTTTCAGGCAATGCATTCCAGATCCGAACAACTCACTGTGTGAAACAATTTCTCCTCCCCTTCCCTCCGTTTCTTTTAACAACTATTTTAATTTGGTGTCCTCGGGTTACCAACCCACTCTCCAGTGGAAACAATTTCTCCTTGTTCACCTGATGGAATCCCCTCATTATTTTGAAAACTTCTATTAAGTCTCCTCTTAACCTTCTCTGCTCCAAGGAGAATAATCCCGGCTTCTCCGCCCTCTCCTGATAACTGAAGTCCCTCATTCCTGGTACCATCCTGGGAAATCTCCTTTGTACCCTCTCCAATGGCTTGACATCAATCCTAAAGTGTGGGGCCCAGAACTGAACACAGTCTCTCGCTGAGGCCTAACCAGTGTTTTATATAAAGGTTCATCATAACTTCCTGACTTCTGTATTCTATGCCCTATTTATAAAGCCCAGTATCCCGTATGCTTTTTCAACAGCTTTATCTCCCTGTCCTGCCACCTTCAAAGATTTACTGATGTGAACCCCCAGGTCTCTCTAGTCCTTCACCACCTTTAAGATTGTACCATCAGCTTATATTGCCTCTCCTCATTCTTCCTCCCAAAATACATCACTTCACATTTCTCCACATTAAACTTCATCTGCCACGTGTCTGCCCATGTTACCAGTCTGTCTATGTCCATTTGCAGTCGGTTACTATCCTCCTCACTGTTTACTACTTTTCCAGATTAGTATCATCTGCAAAGTTGGAGATTGTACTCCCTATACCCAAGTCCAGGTCATTTATATAGATCAACAACAGCAGTGGCCCCAATACTAACCCCCGGGGGACACCACTGCACACTTCCCTCCAGTCAGAAAGACAACCGTTCACCACTACTCTCTGCTTTCAGTCTCCCATCCAGTTCTGTATCCATACTGCCACTGTTTTTTTAATACTGAGGGCTTCTATTTTGATTACAAGTCTCTTATGTGGCACTTTATCAAATGCCTTTTGAAAATCCACACAAACTACATCAACTGCACTACCTTCACCCACCCTCTCCGTTACTTCATCAAAAATAATCTGTCTAAATCCTTTTGCAACTTAATCTGTCTAACTCCCTTTGTAACTTCCTACTCCTAGCTACAAAACTTACGAGCCTCATAGCTCAGCGTCGTCTGCAAACTTGGATACAAATCTTTCTATTCCTTCATCCAAGTCATTTATGTATATGGCGAATAGCTGAGGTCCCAGTACAGACCCTTTGGGACAACCACTTATCACATCCTGCCAATCGGAGAAGGATTATTCTCACCAGCAGACACAATGAGGAAAGAGCGAGGGGGTGGGATTAGAGTAGAGAGCTCCAGAGGGGGAATGAGCTTAGCACAGACACATGAGCCAATTGCCTTTTTATGCTGTAAACATTCTAACATACTCATAAAAAGCTGATGTAGGTCATGCATCTGAAATACGAGGAGAGAAAAATATACAGACAAAACCTCACCAGGAAACCCACCCAAAATGATGTCATAAAATCCAGTAGGAAATAAATTAAAATCTCAGAAATCCACAATAGCACACAACTGGAGTAAGGTTCTCAAATTTAATTAAAATGTGGAGTCCTGTAGTGCAGTGGTTAGAGCACTGGCCTCACAAGCGAGAGGATCCGGGTTCAACAACAACAACAACTACAAGATTACATTTGTATAGCTCCTTTCACGTTGGGAGGATGTCCCAAAGCTCTGATTCGTCCCAAGGACGTCCCAAGGCGGGTTCGATTTCAGGGCAGGGCTGAAACCTTAGGTAGACTCCACATACCTCTGTTTACCTTGCAGTGAGCAGGAACCCAGTTGTTAGTCAATTGGCTGATTGCTTTCTGGGGATAATAATCCTTCCAAAAAAAAACATTAATTTGGTCCCTCAATTCAAAATTGTTTGTGGCTGCTGTTGGCTGCTGTGTTTTGCTCATAAAATTTGACTTTACAGTATATTCTGTGAGGCAGTTTGAGACGTCCCAATGAAAAAGACGCTATATCAAATGCATATTATTATAACACACCATCACAATAACACAGCATGACATCCTGTATAACACAACACATTGCATTTATACAACGCTTTTCACATCAAGAAGGACGTCCCAAGGAGCTGGACAGTCTAGGGTTTGCATGCGAGCTGGGAGTTCGATTTGAAAGGGGTGAGGGCCAAGTGGGTGG